TGGATGGATGGATGGATGGATGGATGGATGGATGGATGGATGGATGGATGGATGGATGGATGGATGGATGGATGATAGCCTGGGATGAGAACCACATCGAACATGGAATCTTGGCAAGGTAAACTGACCTATATGTGCCAGATACCCCAACTTGCTTCAAGACTAAATTTTGAACTGCTTGTGTTGTCCTGAAAATTGCTTGGTCAACCATTCTAAGTTCTGGATCACGACCTCTGGTGGCGCACAGTGGTTAAACTGCAATATTGCAGGCTAACTCTCCCCACTGCCAGCAGTTCAATCCTGACCGCCTCAAGGTTTGACTCAGCCTTCCATCCTTCTGAGGTTGATAAAAGAAGGACCCAGATTGTTGAGGGCAATGTGCAAATAATGCTCACATTGTAAACTGCCCAGAGATTGCTGTTAATCAGTGTTGGGTTGCGTGGAAGATTAAATGCTACTGCTATTATTACCGTGTGAGTCAGAGCCCCGTCCATTCTCACACACACCCACTCCTTCATTCAGTGTGGGAAGCTCATCAATTAACCGCTACAACCACAACAGCTAAGAGTGGTTTTTATCCGTGTGGCGTAAGGTTTGCAGGAGGCATTGAACAAGTGTGGGAAGTGTGTTAGATTTCAAGAAATTAGCACAAGGAACAGACCTGATCTACCAATGAATACCTGAAAGTCAAGTAAAGTCTGTGTATATTAATTGAGGCCCCAATTCAAGTACTTTTTAAGTCTTGTAGTCTGGGGGCACAGTGTTTCTTGGAGTTGTTCTTTTTATTTATTTACTTATTAAATGTATAAGCCACCCATTTTACCATCAAGGCCAATTTTTTTTAATTTCCTATTGCTGTGGATGTGGGATCACCGTCCCCGAAATAATTCTGGATTGTATTGAATAGATTATTTTTCACCGCCCTGAGTGTAAACAGATGATCTAATTCCGAATTGGGTAGGGGCCAGGACAATCTGCTTCCCCCACCCCAGGCCAGGCCTGGTTTCCAGGGTCTCTGCAAATGTGTTTCTTCCTCCATGTTCTATGTTTGAGCTGCTGTGGCGCAGTGGTTAGAGTGCAGTACTGCTGGCTACTTCTGCTGCCTGCCGGCTGCCTGCAATTTAGCAGTTCAGCTGAAGGTTGAGTCGGCCTTCCATCCTTCCGAGGTGGGTAAAATGAGAACCCAGATTGTTGGGGGCAAGAGGCTGTCTCTGCAACCCACTTAGAGAGGGCTGGAAAGCACTGGAAAGTATATATAAGCCTAAGTGTTATTGGGAAGGAAGGAAAGAAGCCATGGTGGCACGCTAGTTACAATGCAGACTTGGAGACCAACTCTGCCCATTGCCAGCAGTTCGATCCTGACCAGCTCAAGGTTAACTCAGCCTTTCATCCATCTGAGGTGGGTAAAATGAGGGCCCCGATTGTTGGGGGCAACAGGTTGACTCTGTAAACTGCTTAGAGAGGGCTGTAAAAGCACTGTAAAGCAGTATATTAGTCTAAGTGCTATTGCTAAAGAGGACATTCTGTCGCAATTATTGCATTGTAGTTGTCCTCCAAAACTTTAATGAATCCTCTTTTGGTGCAGGATTCTTTAGCGGGACCAGCCAGCAAAGAGGTTTTGAGTGCTGGGCCAACCCCTCCACCCAAAACACTTTCTAGGTTTGATGTCTAGAGACAGTTCATTATTTCAACATTCCTCTCCTCAACAGCCCTTGCCTGGGATTGTGTCTTCTTTCATGCTTTCTTCTTCCACCTTCCTTGTCTGCTTTGGCTTCCGTTCACCGCCCTTTCCCAATCCTCCCTAGTTCCTTTGCAATGCTTTCTTCCCGTCTGGTTTTGTCCACTTCTTCTGCAAATGTGCTTCTTAGAGGAACTTCATCTGAGCAGAGAGCTGGGCGGTCATTGAACCAAAGGGGTGGGTGGACAACTTTCCAGGTGGGAAAAGGATCGGGTGGGAGGAGGATGACATTAAGCTTGATTGACGCTGTGTATATTTTCCATCCCTTCTCCAAATCCAGGATCCCTGCCTAAGTGGGTTGTGAATAAATCTTCTCAGTACCTGGCACCAAAGGTGAGTGGGGCCTCACCTCTTTGGCTGAGCTGGTTCTCATCATGAGTCACGGTGATTTTCCCAGCATTGTATTGATTTCAATGAGACCAGGTAACGGAAAGCTACAGGTTGCGTTTATCTCCCTGGGGCAAGGTTAAAGTTGAGACATTGATTGGCAACTAGAGCAAAGGTAAGAAAGGGAGGTATGAATACAATAATAGAGTAGAGTAGAGTAGGTGAGTAGAGATGAGTAAAGAGAAGAGAAAGAAGAGAAGAGAGAAGATAAGAAAGAAGAGGAGAAGGAAGAGAGAAGCAGAGAAGAGAAAAAAGAGAAGAGACAGAGTTGGAAGGGACCTTGGAGATCTTCTAGTCCAACCCCCTGCTTAGGCAGGAAACCCTACACCACTTCAGACAAATTGTTATCCAACGTCTTCTTAAAAACCTCCAGTGATGGAGCATTCACAACTTCTGGAGAGAAATTGTTTCCCTGATTCATTGTTCTAGATTCTCTCCTTGATTAGTTTGAAATATAGGGAGTCCTCAACCTATGACTATAATGTAGCCCATGATTTATGTTGCTAAGTGAGAAATCCGTTAAGTGGGTTTTGTTCCATTTTATGACTTTTCCTGCCACATTTGTTTGAATGAATCACTACCGTTGTTCACTTAGTAACACGGTTGTTAAGTGAATCTGGCTTGCTCATTGACTTTGCTCGTCAGATCG